AGCTCTTCAGCAATCAACTTGTGATTATCACCACAGATACTTTCAGCTCACCTTCACTGCGAATTACTTGTTGAGTCTAAGACTGATCACCTTAGCCTCTGAAGACTTGATCTACTACAGCCTACGACCTACGACCTACGACCTACGACCACGACCCCAGTGTACTGTTTAAACGTCAATCCCCAACTTCTGTTAGCAGACCCTACTGTCGGATAGCTGACCGTAACAACTAGCAATAAGTCGACTAAACTTGCTTCGTGAGGATTTCTTCGCCGAAGTCATGACTTGGTTGTTGGCCTAATGGCCGCTCAGATCGCGGGCTATTGCGGGCGCCACTGATTCAGACGAGGTGCGGGAGATTCATTGGTGCGAGTTTCCAGAACAGTCAATTAATTATCTGTAGGCCAGTAAGGTAAGCTTTCATATACAATTGCCCCTGTGAAGAAAGCGCATACACGTCAGAAAGAAATTCGATACAAGAGCCAAGACTCCAAATTTGCCAGAAATTCCCTGCCTATTTCCTTCGTCAGATTTCAAAAATCCCTTCATCTCCTCCTTATGCTGTCGCACAAGGGACTCGGAGACCGCGGCGCACCTGTTACCGGCAGTTCCAACTTTTGTTCACTGTGATCTCCATACCCAAGACGCTTTGGATCAGTCGTCTGATTCCAGATCGGGGTCGTCGGAGTCCGCGAAAACACTAGGGACCCAGGAACCACAACACCGGACTCACTGGCATTGTCGCCGTCCTCGCTACTCGTTCGGCTGATGTTCATGTACCCAATGGCTACAAGATATTGCAAGCTCTTTCGCAAAGCTTTACGGACAACAGCTTGATGTTCGGCTTGATCTTCAGCCGTCATTGCGCCTAAGGGCTGGCCAAGAATGCCTCCTTTATCCTCGACGAAGTGCATCACCGGCCACATTCTGTGACCCGACCCCTTGCCCTCCACCTCACACTGCAGGGCGCCCAACCACTGCTTTGCGTCTGACGGTTCTGTGACACGTCCAGTCTCTTCGGCAACAATGTCCCAGTAGTCGCTCAGACTGATGCCGCTCAAGACCTTTTTGGAGACACTGGCGCCACAGTCGGCGGGTTGGAGTAGACAGCTGTCCAGGATAATCTTCGCAACCAGGTCAACACCGGCCGCAGCTATCCACGAGCCGGGGTCCTCATCAACACGAAGACCAATGTCAAGGGCACTGGCTGTCACACGCCAGAGGAAGTCGTCTGTATTGGAGATCCCATCAGAGGAACTACCCATAATCAGACCTGGCTTCACAATGGAAACAAGAGACCCATGGCCGGCTTGAGCGAGACGTTGAGCAAAACGCGCCACGAGAATCTCAGAGACAAACTTCGTCTGGCTGTATGCTGGGTACGACTTGAGCTCCTCTGCAACTTCGTTGACATTGTCAGGGGAAGTCGAGAGATGGCCTCCCGAGACATAAGTAAAGCGCACCGGTCGGCTGGCGCACGCCCTCGCGACGGCAGTGAGGAGTTGAACGGTGGATAGCGTGTTGGCAGGTACCAGGGCATGGTAATCCGCCATCCAGTTGACAACTGCACCGTTATGAACCACAGCGTCGATCAAGTCATCCTCAGTACCTGATCCGTCCAGTCGAGACCATTGCGTGTCTTCTAGGCCAAGGTGTGGGAGCGAGAGATCGCCGTGCCAAACTTCGATGCGGCAAGTGTATGCCTCGCGCCACCAGCTACTGCCACGCGCAAGTGAGAAAAGTCTTTCGGTAGCATGCGCAGCTGTTGAACCTCTCACCAAAGCGACGATCTTGGACACTCCTGGACGCTCTAAGAGCTGGCAGAGAAGCTGATTTCCAAGGAACCCAGTTGCTCCTGTCAAAAATACCGCTTTTGGGCTGAACTTCTCATTCCATGCTGTGTCTTGGGGCCGAAGTGCTGGAAGCGACTTGTCATACTTCTCGATCTCATCCAGAAGCTCGAGTCCGTCGTCCTGTTTGGGAACCTGGCGATCCTCAGCGATCCACCGAGCAATATCCCGAATAGTCGCTGCACTGTTCATGTACTTCTTGATCGGAAGACTTGTCCCATAGGTCTTCCGAACAAAGGTAGAAAGTGAGACGACTTGGACGGAGTCCATACCGGCGTAGAAGGGGTTGAAATTACTCCCACGCAAGGACTGCTTTCTTTCTGGGTCATTCCTCGACAATAATTCAGCCAACTTGTTGCTGATAGACAAGGCGATGTCTTCATCAGGAAGTAGACTACCTCCAAAGTCGAATTCTCTGAATTCGCCCTCATTTGGAGCAGTACGCAGACCATGCAGAGTATCCAAGTTTGCGGCGTATTCTTTGAGTCTTCGCCGATCGAGCTTCCCAGTCGTACCGAATGGCAGAGACTCAACACATTGAAAGTGAGCAGGTACCATGTAGATAGGCAGAACGGATAACAGCTGCGTCTTCAGTTGGCTCGCCATATCATCAACAGCGTTCTTACGCTCTGAGAAGTTGTCAGATAGACCGCCAAGCTGAATAAACGCAACCAAATGCTTGCTGGAGGATCTCGAAAGAGACAAGACATCAACGGCTACAAGAGAGCCAGCTGGGAGGATGTCGATGAGCCGATGTTCGATCTCTCCCAGCTCAATTCTTTGACCGCGAAGCTTGATCTGGGTATCTTTGCGTCCGAGGTATGAAACTGAGCCATCTGAGTTGAATCTGCCGAGATCTCCAGTCTTGTACATCCTCCTTGATTCTTCTCCAAAATTGAAATTACTCGTCCACGATGGGTCGGCGATGAACGATTTGCTAGTTTTCTCCGGATCCCCTAGATATCCGCGAGCAACACTGGGTCCATCGATCAGGATCTCACCAATGCTTCCAATGGGAAGCAGTCTCTCGTGGGTATCGGGATCCACGATCCAGACATGACAATTTAGACCATGGCCAATACTGTCACCCACAAGGAACTCCACGTTACTCATTCGAGTCACAGTACATACGCTACCCTCGCAGGGCCCATAGGCGTTGATAAGTTGGACGCGACTAGCCCAGGTCTCGATGTTGTCGACGGTCATGGCCTCGCCGCCCATGCAGACTGTCTTCAAGCTTGGCAGGTCGCCAGGATCAAGGGTACGTGCGAAGGACGGCGTGAAGAAGGCCCAGTCTGCCTGGGATTCTGTCACAAATCCAGCAAGGTTGTTCAGCCTGTCTTCATCAGATGGGATGCAGATACAGGCTCCCAAGACCAGTGCGTTGACAATCTCAATGACACTGACATCAAATACATGAGCGGAAAATTGGAGAATTCTCGAGCCCTTGAACATTTGCATGCCTGCCGACTGAGCATTTGCTGTGGAACAAAGAGTGCGATGTTCTTGCACAACACCTTTCGGCAACCCCGTACTGCCAGAGGTGAACAGAACTGTGGCAGCATGGTGAGGTTGAACTTCTGCGCTCGAGAAGGCTTGAACGTGCAGCTTGTCCATTTTCTCAAACAGAGCCCGACTCACGGTCACTACTGGAGTATCTGATCCAGAGAATGAATCTGCTTGAGAGGAAGATACCACGACAACTTTGGCGGCAACATTCTGGACAATGAAAGATTTGCGCTCCAATGGGTAGGCAGGGTCGAGGGGAACCATTGCGCCCCCAGCTTTCAGGATAGCCAGCATAGACACAACAGTGTAGAGAGACTTTTCGAAGCAGTACACTACTTTGCTCTCTGGGCCAACACCCAAATCCACAAGAACTCGAGCCAATTGTGAAGCTTTCTTGTCAAGCTCCAAAAAGCTGAGATGTCCATCCCAAGAAAAGATTGCCTGTGCATTTGGTTGGATCTGAGCTTGAGTCGCAAACAATTGATGAACGCAGGCTTCGGTGATGTAGGGCGGTTTTTGGTTCCAAGCTTGTATCTGCTTGATATCTTCGGCCGAAGGTTGGGCAAAGAATGTCTCGAGACGTGTGGTTTGACTTGCGACTAAGAACCCCAGTGCAGTGTCGAAATATTCCACCAGTCTGGAAGCTTGGGAATGATCAAGGTACTCGGTGTCATAGTTGAAGTTGACGTGAACCGAAGTCTCCCGGAGACTGCACTCAACCATGACGGCGTGGGAGTTGAATTTGTCAAGATCTTGTGGTCGCTCAAAAGCAGTGAAAGGAGCACCATCCATGGCCATATCTACTTCAGGCTGAATGATCATCATGCTCTGAAACTCGCAGGCAGCCTTGCAATTGGCATCTATGCGAGATATGTTCTGAATGCCCATCTGCTCGAAGGGGATCATGTCGATAGTGGCCGTCTGAAGCCCGGTGAGAAAATCGATCACGGTCTGACTTCGATCACACTTAACCCGCAACGGAACAGTCGAAATGACTGGACCCATAACGGTCTCGATTCCATCAAATGAAGCATTCCTTCCCGATGACGTGACCCCAAAGACGGCATTGCTGGACCCGCTGAAGCGGCTAATGACAAGTGCCCAGGCTGCACGCAAGATAGTTGTCGCAGTCACATCTAAGCCGGATATGGGAAGAGCCATATTAAGACGAACAAATGCTTTCTCTGGATTCGCGTTGGCAGAAACAATGCAAGGCGGCTTCCTTGGGAATTGCTCATACTCTCCTCCCTCAAAGACTGACTTCCAGTATTGGGTTGACAATTCTGATGCTGAAGTTTGGGAATATTTGATGAAGGAAGAGAAAGAAGCTTTCGTAGCTTCAAAAGAATTTCTGAAGGCGTCCCTCACTGCTCGTAGGGTGAGTCCGACAGAGTGACCATCGACAATTGCGTGATGCACAGTCCAGACCATACTCGATGCAAGACCATTGGTATCGTAGATGATGCCGAATCGATTGAGCGGAACCCCAAATGTTGACGCCTTTTTCAGGTCAAAGTCTAGATATTCATCAAGATTGGAGCTTTCATTCCAGCGTAGGGCCTCGTGTACGACAACTTGCTGGATGCCAGATGTCGATGTGTCTACCAGACGAGTGCGTAGGATGCCGTGTGCTTTGGAAACTAAATTCCACGCGTTTTTCAAGCTTGCGACATCGACATCTGCTCCAAGCTGAAGCACATACTGGACCAGGAATGAATTAGCAGTTGTGGAAGACATGGCCATGAGCCCCTCCTGTAGGGGTGTGCAGGGAAAAGCGTCTTCAATGTCCTCTATAATGATGGAACACTCCTCGGCAATTTCTGTAAGAGCCACAGATTCCCCATCTAGAAGTTCCATAGGTCGTGTGGTAATCATGGACTTCTTGGACTGGAGCAGGGGAAGCTGACAGAGGTCTCCCAAGATTGGATTCTTGAAGACTTGTGCGAATTCCAGCGCGAGACCGCTTTTACGCGCAGCCGACACTAGCGATATCACGGCCATAGAATCTCCACCAAGGCGTAAGAAATTGCTGCTGGCCGATAGCATGCCCTCGGAGATTCCGAGAACGCCGGCCCAAAGACCGCGCATTACGTTTTGGAGCTCGGTATTCTCGTTCGCAGCTTCTTCAGTGTCATCCTCCAGGCCCAACTCAGAGAAACCATAGAACTGCTCTGGACGGAGGTCGTCAACTTCCCGGCGTAAACGCTTGAGATCAACCTTGCCATTGGTGGTGAGAGGCAGGCTAAAAAGAGGGATGTAGAGGGAGGGACACATCCAGGAGGGAAGAACGCTGGAAACCATAGCTTCAACCTTCGGTATCATCTTCCGAAGAGCTGAATTCTGTCTGGGCATGACGCATCTGCCATCGACTGAGTCACTCCCGGCGTTTCCTTGTTGGCAAATGAAGGCCACCAGTACTTTGGCGTTCTTTTTCGATCCATAACTTGGCCTCGTGACGACGTCCACAACAACACTCTGAGTCTTAAACGCTGAGCGCAGATGATATTCAACTTCAGAGGCTTCCAGCCGCTGTCCAGAGATCTTGAGCTGAGTGTCTTTGCGGCCTTCAAAGTGAATCACACCATTCTGGTCAAAGCGGCACAAGTCCCCTGTCCGATAAAGCCGTCCTCGTCGATTGTGTTTGGCGAGCCAAGGAGGATCACGAATGAAGGCATTGTTAGGTCCTTCGCCCTCCTCAAAATTCAGGTAGCCCCTCGCCAGCTGGGGACCTTCAAGAACCAGCTCTCCAACGGCACCAAGAGGTGACAACCGAGTAGGGTCGTCTGGTACGACGATCCAGCAACAGGTTCCAACCCCACGCCCTATAACTCCGGGGTTCCCATTGGATCGAACAAGGTGCATAGTCGAGAAGACAGTGTTCTCAGTAGGCCCAAATGCATTGATGAGATTGCGTCCACGCCCCCATTTCTCGATATTATCTTGACCGACAGCTTCGCCGCCCAATAACAAGGTTGTCAGTCCGGGTAACTCGGACGGTTCAAGAAGTCGGATCACAGAAGGCGTAAAGAATGCCCAATTTACCCTCTTTAGCTGCATGACACTGGTGATGTCGTTCAATCTCTCGTCTTCAGACGGGATAACAATGCAGCCACCGAAGCTGAGAGTCGTGAGGATTTCGGCGATAGACGCGTCGAAGGTATGACGAGCGTATTGGATGACCCTCGTCTGTCTGTTGAATCCTGTGGCTTTTCCGTGGGCGGCGATACTGGAAGAGCAGGCGGCATTGTCAACCATCACCCCTTTTGGTTCTCCGGTGCTTCCGGAAGTGAACATGATATAAGCCAGATCCCAAGGTCTTGGTGAAGGAAAGGGTGCAGTTGCAAGGCCAAATAGCTGCTGTGTTGATTGCTCTTCAACACACAGAATGTTTCTCGATAGCGCACGTAAACGCTCGGTGTATGTCTTGGAGCTCAGCACAGTCTTTGGCTGAATCTTATCGAGGAGGTTTGAGATTCGGCCGTCCGGCTGGAATGGATCCAAGGGCACAAACGCACCGCCGGCTTTGAGAACAGCCACCGTTGCCACAATGTTCCATACACTCTTCTCAAATAATAGAGCGACCTTGGACTCGGCTCGGACGCCTCGCCTGACAAGCTCGTTGGCGATATTGCTTGACTTCTCGTCTAACTCTGCGTAAGACAGAGTACCATCCCACGCATCAACAGCTATGTTCAGAGGTGACCCATGAACATGACTTGCAATCATGTCTTGTACAGAGACATTTTCATGATCCGAGTCGAGCTGGTTCCAGACATCGTATTGGTGATGGTCGCCTTCATCCAGGAGATTGAGATCACACAAATTGGCATTCGGCTGGGCGATGATGCTTTCGAGTGCATTGCGAAATGTTGAAAGTATCTTTCTCGCACGCCAGTCTGAGTGGGTCGTTTCTGAATATTCGCATCGTACAAGAAGACTATGAGAGAGCGGATCTTGGCCCGCAGTAAAGGCCATGACTGTCTTTACAAATTTCAGCTAACGTTTTCACACTATGATGAGAAACAGCGCCAACTACATGAGGAAATTATGGCGATGGGGATGGGTAACGCAAGAGACCATGTTAGTTAAAAGGGCTTGGACTAACCTGCGGGTGTACGGCTTTCACAGCATGTAGAGACGGAAGGGCCTCTTGTGCCATGTTCAGGGGACATCCATCACGGAAGGACGATACAATGAGAGCATACTCTGTGAGATTGGCCTTCGAGATAGTCACAGAGGCGGCACTTGCAACTTTTGGCTTGCAGAGAAGTTCGAAGATGCGGCTCTTTGGGGACAAGGGAGTGTTCCAAAGTAACCACTCCTGATCCTCTCCTAAGAAGTTGATGGACTCAACTGATGCGTATGCCTTCAATGCTACGACACAAGCAAGCTGAATTATAGAGGCAGCTGAACAGTGTGCGTACTCTTGAAGGGCCTCAAATCTGTGGGAGCGGAACAGCAGAGTTTCGGCTGTTTTCGTTTCTGGGTATGAAGCGCGACCGTAGCTGGCCATCATGGTGCTTGTGTAATGATTTCTTCTCGGTAGAAAATGAAAGTGAACAAAGAATGATCCGTTCAATCGACACGAGCAACTTGGCCCACGGACATTCAAGTAGACTTCCTCGAGAAACAGAAGGGATGATATGTGGGCATCTCCGAGCTTCAAGTACTTTCCGGCGGTAGATGACACCGGGCCGTTTTCGAGTACTTTGTGCTCGCCATACAAGCCAGTAGTCTAGATGTTGCAAAGAGCACCCGATTGAAGAAGTACCCTGAGAGTCCCATAAAAGTTTTCACCTTCTAGTTCACCGAAGCCTTCCGCATACATGTAAGCAAGTGGCGATTGGAATTGCCAAATTCGTCGAGACTCCCCTACTGAATGGCTGCCCCAGAGGATTACAAAAGTCCGTTGAGGATCTGACGAGGGGCAAAGCAAAACCATGCGAACCTATCGTGAGCGTCAAAGGGAACCGAATCGTCTTACCTTTGATGAAGAGGGCATGGTCAGTAGTCCCATCTTCCCTGCAGTCACGTCTTTTCGTGTGACATGTCTTACCATATGGAGCCCCATCTTGCCTCCATCTTAAAGTGCTTCAAGGTTTGCCTATGTTGATTTGCAATCATCAGGTTTTCGTATCGTTGCCGAAGGCATCAATAATCCTTGCATCAGACCAGCATTGGCGATCCTGTCAAAAGTGCAATTCACTTCTACCTGCTCCTGAATCAAGAAACTTCATTCATCCTTGTTTAGATAAGGTGTGCCTGCATCGTGCTTGTGGATTCGCACTTGTCTGTGATGAGCCCTAAACGTACTATGTTTTTCGAGAACGCAATGCGATCTCACCAATGACGTGAAGTCGCGAAAACGTCTTCATGCTAGTGGCTTCGCGGTTACGATTTCATGGGATGAGAACCTAACACCCAGCTTCCTATTGCAGAAGTGTGTGACCCAGGGTGTGAGCTTGACCTAGCATGGCAGGCTGAAATTCGGCAAGCTAGGCCAAGCCACGGCTGGAAGGATTGTCGCCAAGAGTTGAGGATTTCGACTTCTCGAACCAATGACAGCCCTTGAAACAGCTACGAGGCTATTCACGGCCATTCTGAATGTGATATGTACAACATAGAATTTGGAATCAGACGCTGGTTCCGAGAATTTTGCCTCGGGCACAGCTGCCTCGCTGACCCTGGCTTTGCAATTGTCGAATGGGATTGCAACCGGTCATGGGGTCGATGTCAACTGGGCTGTGTATGATCCCTTACGTTCATCTTGGTAGTATCACCTATTAGTCTTAGTGTCGCAAGGCACTGAAGAGGCCCCAACTTCTCGCGTAAGAGTTTGAGATGACAGGGACGTAAATGATGAATTTCGTGTCTAATACCTTGAAATTGCCCGGGCTGCTGGCCACCTACTCACCAGGAACTTTTTCACTCCCCTAATTTCTGACCACTTGACAACTTGGCTGACGTTGCTTACGAATCTCTGAGACACCTCGAAAGAACTTGCTGCATCAGTCCGAGAATCTGACTGATACAGGCCTATCGGCCTGCAAGACTCAAGAAAAGAGTGTGCTCATATACTTAGTTCATTTCTTGTCCACGTCGTTCAAAACTTTGTCTCACACGCACCACATCATGGCGATATCGGAGCCCTCCAGAGCAATTACTTCAAGCGCCAAAGATGCAGCTCAGTCTTCAAATTGCTCAGAGGAGCTTTCCATGGGAAAGCGATCAAGCATTTCCTCTGACACGAAAGTCCCAGCGCTTCCCGTTTCCCTCGAAGTTAAGGAAGCCAAAGAAGCTGGCTACCAGGAAGATTCGGCCATCGAGTACCCAAGAGGCATTCGACTAGCCCTTATTATCCTGGGCCTTGCTATGGCTGTATTCTTGGTGTTTTTGGACATGACTCTGATTGCAACGGCCATTCCTGCAATCACAAATCAATTCAACTCACTTCAGCACGTGGGATGGTACGGTTCCGCGTACATGTTGAGCGTAAGTGGTGCGTCTTAGGTTGCCTCATTCAACACGGCTGACTTGCGACAGCTTTGTTCATTTCAACTAGTCTACGGTAAATGCTACGAGCTGTTCTCTTTGAAGTTGACATTCATGGTGGCCATCGCCTTCCGAGAGGTCGGTCTAGCGGTTTGCGGAAGCGCACCCAACTCTATTGCCTTCATCATCGGTCGTGCCATTACCGGCATCGGCTGCAGTGGCATCATCATAGGTCCGAACTTTCATTCTCTCTGATTTTATCTCATCTGTCTCTCTCGTTCCACTCTCGTCGTTGGCTCATCTAACCATCATCGTCAAATCACAGGCACCTGGGTTGTTCTGGCACATTCCGTCCCAATCCGCCAACGGGCAGTGTACACTGGGTTCCTGGGCGCATTCTCAGGCGTTGGCGGCATCGTCGGTCCTCTGATCTCAGGGGCCTTGACAGACAGTCATTTGTCCTGGCGGTGGGCGTTCTACATTAGTATTCCTGTCGGTATCGCAACACTGGGATTGATTCAATTCTCTTTCAAACCTCCGGCCCAGATTATCTCTGGCGGCAACAGAAGGCTGTCTTCCAAAATCAAGGAATTCGACATAATTGGTCTCGCCGTTTTCTTCGCCTGCATGGTCTGTCTTTTATTGGCACTCCAGTGGGGCGGGTCGGAGTATCCGTGGAGTAGCGGTCCCATGATTGCACTCCTCGTGTTATTTGCGGTCATGCTGGTCGCTTTCGTCACTTCACAGATTTGGAAAGGTGACAAGGCCGCTTTACCACCTCGGCTTATGAAGCAGCGCAACGTTGCGTTTGCTTGCCTTTATGCCGCCTGTATCGACGCAGCTTACTATACTGCAGATATTTGGCTGCCAATATGGTTTCAGGCGATCAAGGGCAACTCGGCGAGAGAGTCTGGCATCAAGCTTGTGCCTTATGTTGGTGGAGAGGTACTGGCGGCGTTGGTTGCCGGATACCTGGTGACCCTCTTGGGATGGTATAACCCCTTTATGCTCTTTTCTACAACCATCTCTTCGGTCGGCCTTGGACTTATGACCAGGTTCGAAGTTGACACGGGGCCAAGCGAATGGATCATTTATCCTATCATCGCAGGCATCGGGATTGGTGCAGGGACCCAACAACCCATGATGGGAGTGCAGTCCACTCTCGTTCTCGCGGATATCCCGGCTGGGACTGCCGCTGTCACTCTTTTTCAGAATCTCGGTCCAGCAGTCCTCATGTCGGTCGCAAATACAGTCTTTGTCAACAATTTGAAGCGGAATTTACACGGCCAAGGCGGACTCGACGGACAAGCTATTGCTGACATGGGAGCTACCAATCTGAAGGACATGATCTCGGTAGATCTACTTCCGGGGATCATCAACGCGTACAACAAGGCACTTCAGGAAACCTTTCGTGTACCAATGGCAGTGGCAGTAATCTCCATCATTGGCGTATTAGGCATGAAGTGGGAGAAATTGCCGGCTTAAACATGATAGATTTCTCTCCATAGCAATGTCTCACAGGATCTCTCGCGTTATGAAGACGCAGGTTTAGAAGCGATAAAGCTCCGTTTCTATATACTGTCGTATCATCTCATCAAGCTCGTATTCCATCTTGTCCAAGCTGAGTACCTTTGTCTTGCTTAAGCATCAAACTGCCAGGCACTGGCTGTTTTGTCCAGCAAACGTGGAAGAAATTGAATTGGGCGATCCTCGTCACCATCTTTTACCACCACAGTGTATGTATTACGAAAGTCCTCAACGCAAAGGCCTGCTCTTGATGTGCGAATAATGTGGGCGCCATTCCACAATCCCGCGACGGCTGCTGGGGAGTTCGGAATAACACCCGACACGATGCGTGTATGAACACTGCTGCGGTCAAACCCGAACTCCATGATTGGAAGGCGACACTCGTTGAGTTTCTGGGATCCGCCATCGAACGAAAGGCCTTCGAAGTCAATGATATGTCGACCACGAAGCATACCTTCGTATTGTTGGGCAATGGGGAGCTTGTCGCTTCCAAGATACTCTGTGAGACTTTCAAGCCACTGTTGAGCCCGGACAGTTTTTCCATTCCTGCATCTTCTAGAGAGGTCGATAATGATTTGGTCAAGAGGCCCGTTGCTCATGATGTCGTTTTGGCCGGTTTGCCTCCGAAGATAAAGATCGATGAACAGCAAGTAGGCAAAACCACGCTTATAAGATATCCATTCTCCATACCAGTCGCTGAACATAATCTCAGCGGCCTTGCGAACGTCGATTGTGATTCTTGGACTTGTGTAGTAGGCTTGAAGATGACCATTGAGACTTTTAATAAGAAAGTCCATCCCTCGGAAACCAAAACGGTACGGGAGAAACGAGCTGTAAAACTCGGCAACCCCTATTTATCACGTAATACTTAGCAACCACCGTGATGAAAAATGGGAAGCGTGGGTACCACTAACCTTCGATGTACCACTCATTTTCATACCCATCCTCCTCGGGGTTGATGTCAACAAAGCTGTGTACCATCTCATGGGTGAACAGCAGAACCAGTGAATCGTCTGTCTCATTCTTCGTTGCGTTTTCGTACTCCAAAACATAACTTCCATCGAACCCGCTGCCTCCAAACCCGACCAGAGACTTGCGAATGAAGATCCGGTAAGATTCACCAGTCACGCCAAAGAAGGACGCCAGCTTTGGAAATAGGACGGCATTGTATGATTTGAGCCGCTCAAGGTTGGGCGGCAAGTCTCCGAACCAGTAGCAGGCAGCGAAACCATCATCGCTTTCTGGAGAGACTTCCGGATAACGTTGGACTGGCCCAACCATGTAAACAGTGTTCCACAAGGTCTCGGCACGACCAACACGGATAAGAGGTTTGGTTCCTTCGCCATAGCTCCAAACACATCTCGTAGATTCCGGTGCATCAGCCGGGACCTTCCACTTGACCACATTCGTGAAGACTTGGTCGGACAATAACAGAGGTAGGAACCATTGTCCCACGCCGTGGACACCGCCTTGGTCCTTGCGAAGATCGATACGCGCACCCAAGGGAGTCGTGACGTCGACATGGCGAGGAAAGACGTCAAATTCAAGTTTGACGTCGCCTCGGGTTTGTCTACTGAATGACCAATGTTGCTGGATATTACGACCTTCCGAAGGTAGATCTCGAAATTGGATTTCGAGAGGCCCCGAGTTATCCGTAGCCTTGATGTCGCGCTCGTGAAAAGGATGAGCTGGTATGTTGTCTTTGAAGGGATAGAAAGAAAATGCGGGCTGATCAGGCTTAAACGCTGGATTTTGAATTAGGAACAGCACGGAGAGGCTGCTAACACCATCGGCATCGAACTTGGGCGTCAATTGAAGGGAAAGGATTGGGTGGTGAGGGAGCTGCATGGTGACTTCGACTTTGAGACTTCTGGCTGCCAACGCAATAGAAGCCTGTGTGGTGGCCTTCGAGGATATAAGTTGGCAAGTCGCGCCGTTATGCTAGACTTTGTCGTCGTGGAAATTGACGCGGCCCACCCGAAAGAGGAAGCTGCAACATAGGTAAGCTGGTGGGGTTCTGGATAGCACGGCATCATAAAGTTAAATAATACACGCGTGTCATTTGACTTCGCGCGTTGCACCTATTATTTCTAACCCGAGCTGGTACTAGCCGTTTTAGTGTGTGCTGGGATCAGAGCTGGGGATAAGCTTGAATGTCGCCCAATTGCCCGTTGTTAGAGTTGTGTCTTGTTGATCCGACTCTACGAGCAGACATAGCATTGAAGATGTTTGAGATCGTGCCATACTCAGTAAACCTCAGGTTCCGAATGATCTCAGGCCTCTGAGGTTTAGACTTGAAGTATTGCCGCCGATTCTGTGCCAGGAAGATGATAAACTGTATGCTACTGTTCTGGTGCAGCTCAGACCCTTGTCGCCGTACGTACCAGCCTACGCAATGCTCGGCGGGCAACAGCCGCCGAATGCAAGATAGCTTACTTATGGACATTTGCAAACTTTGCATCAATTGCGTCGTCTAAGATGCAAGCCTGAACTGTGCTAAATGCCAATAAGTAATTTGCAAAAAGAAAAGACAGCGTTGTTACTCATATGCACGGCCGCACCTGATTCCTTCTACGATGACATCGGCATCACGTGCAATTAGACTGGTAACGAACGAGCGTCGCCTTTGCAACTTCTCTTCAATAGCTTCATTATTTATTATCCATACACGGAAGAAATACAATGGGAAACAGGCAGACTCTGCCTGTGGTGTGACAAAAAGGTCAGAAACGGATGGTCTAACCCGGGGACCACGGCCATCTGGCATGACCGTTCCTCGGGAAGCCTATCGCTTTTCTATCAAGTCAGCCTTACTCTCGAGCGACTATCAACTATCTTTTTGAGAAAATTGGAGAATATGAATAAGGTACACTCGGAACCACATGGGCTCGCGAACTGTCCGCATTGGATTTGCGGAGGGAGATCCTGAGGTAGTCAGCCAAAATGCGAGTGCCCGCAGATTGCCTCTTGCAATCTGTTAACGATTTTGAAGTCCATTTAAGATGAAAATGCGTATGAAAATGCATTTGCGTCTCGATCTCTCAGATAAATGATTCAAAAGACGCTCGAGCTTACGCCTTGATACATCAACCAACACTGATAGATGGCTATGTGGTCACGCAACCCAAGTTTGACCCTTCAAACAGCTCAGACTTCAAAATTGCTTAAGACTTATGGCTCCTGGCTTGGTATGCGATATCCTGCCTTAGTGAAGATTTTAGCTTTGCTAGCCATCTTTTCTCTAGCTTAAACAACACATTCCCATCAGTCATTCGTTTGATGATATTTATGTTTCTCATCTGCCTTTCTTACCAACGCAATTGGACGGCCAAAAAAAAAAGAGTTTTGCTATTTAGGCAGTGTTTATACACACGTAAATTCGTAGCTTATTTCTAAAGCGACTATACTTCTTATTCTCGCTTTTATCGTTATTATTATCTATTAGTATCGTTTATTATTATTAATACTACTATTATCGTTATTATCGTCGTCGTCGTCGTTATCTTTATTACTATTTCTATCGTTCTCTCTATAATCACGAATTATAGGGGATATTACCCAGATAGCAAACTAACACTGCCCGACTAGCAAAACTCAAAAAGAAATGCTTCCGTAAATCATAGCGTTGACGGGCTGGAGGAGCAAGTGGTGAGGCTACTCTGAGTTCAGCAAATGAGTGAAACACTCGATCTCAACATCATGGGTCCACTCCAGTCTGGAGAGCATGCCATATCGGGTTATCTTCCCCCATGCACCATTGGTCGATATACCCCGACAGCATACGGAGGGGGCACGCCGTGGGTGGGCAACTAGACTACAGGGGCTCGAACTGCCTACCTCAGGGGCGTGTCTTGAGTGGATCACGTAGCATATATAAGTCCTCAAAGATGAACGTTGATCTGGTCCATCACTTTTTCTACGCCTCAAATCACCTTGTACCACTCATTATGGCTCCTCCATTTCGCTCCGAGCAAGTCGGATCCCTGATCCGCCCGGCATCCCTCTTAGAGTCGCAATCCACCATGGGCTTTTACTCAGACAAGTTGTCCAAGAGCCAGGCTGCGGCAACAGCATCCGCCATTGCGTACGCAGCCAAGAAGCAGCTGGAACTGTCGATTCGACCCATTACCTCTGGCGAGTACGAGCGCACTATCTTCTTCAGCGGCTTCTTCGAGGAACTTCAGGGCATGGAGGTCCGCCAAGATCTTAGAATTCCGCAAGACTTCCGAACTGGGCTGCCCAACATTACTGGTCTCGCTAAGATGGGACTGAACCATTTCGCTGCTGTCATTGCTACTGGCAAGATCAAACACGCCACCTCGGCTTACTTGCCCGCGTGGGAGATGATCAAGAAGGCCGTGCCTCAGGAACACTGGAAAGACTGCAAGATGGCCATTCCCTCGATATCTTGGCAGCATATGTACCTAGTTAGGGGCACAGCGTTTGCCCCTGGCGTGTACTCTTCTGATCGGGAGTATCTCCTAGATCTAGCGAGGGCTTATCGCGCCGAGCTAATGATCCTGTACGACGCGGGCCTGAGATCAGTCCAGATTGACGACCCTAACCTGACCTTCTTCATTGTGGAGGACTTCCGGGAAGGTCTACGGGGAGACGGTATTGACCCTGACTCCCTGCTGGATCTGTACATTTGGGCGCACAACGAGGCCATCAAGAACCTCCCGATGGATTTGCATGTTGGCGTCCACCTCTGCCGCGGCAACATTCCCGGCGGCCCATCTTTTGCCGAGGGATCGTACGAGAAGATCGCTAGCCAGGTGTTTCCCAAGCTGAATTATGCCACATTCTACTTGGAGTTCGACGACCCTCGCATCTCTGGGCACTTTGAACCGCTGAGATTCGTCCCCCGAGGGAAGAACGTGGTCCTCGGCTTAGTCTCGACCAAGGTCGCCGAGCTTGAGGACAAAGACGCTCTCATCAACCGAGTTCTCCAAGCTGCCGACGCCATTGCCACGGGGCAGGGAAGAAGCACATCCGAGGTCCTGGAGGACTCGCTTGCGGTGAGCCCGCAGTGTGGATTTGCCAGCCACAACATCAATAGAGGTGTGGCTACGGAGGAGAGAATGTGGGAGAAGTTGGTTCTTGTCAGAGACGTTGCCAGGGCTCTGTGGAGTGATGCCGTCTAACCATTCAGGTTGTGACACTGTCTTTCAGCTGTAATCTAGACACCTTCTGAAATGGAGACATCTCTATCGGTATATTGCTGCGATTCATGGGAAACTGTGACCTCGTCCTCATCAAGCTGCCTTCCCACAGACAGCTATTTTTTCCTCCCTAAGAAATTCGATCAAACACGCTGAAGACGATACCTGTGAAAGTCATCGGCCCAAACGTTGATGTCATGGAATAGAGTTCCGCCTAGCGATAGAGCCAAGAGCCATCAATACTTGAGGTAGCCAGCAGAAACCAGTCAAGGCCAAATCGGACAAGTCACAGTGGCATAATCTGGACCAAAAAACGGGGGATAGCGAGAACCATAATGATTTTCGCTCGGCGGCGGAGGTCCAGATAAGCGCCGAGACCGAGATCGCTGTGGAGTAGGCCGAGACCTCAGCCCTAGTTTGCAAGGGGGGCGAAAGCGACAGGCTGTGTTTCATTGAAGATGATGAACGGATTCTGCAGATATGATTGACATATCAGGTTGCGTGGTGCATATGCTTGAGCGCCATGTGGGATGGGATTCCAATGTGCTTGGTTATTCAGCGTCTTGACGCAACAAGCTGCCTTGGATGACCCCTGTAGACCATATTTTTGAGTTGAGGGATCTCCCGCATCGAACCTGCTTCAAGCTGTGAGATGAGTGTTCATGGATCGTATTGGAATAGCAGCCCAGGCTGTATGGTTGGTCTAAGTTGGCTTTGTGCCTTGACAAACTTCAGACTCACTTGGAGGAACGAACGCATGCTTATGTAAGCCTGGCGTCGTGGTCGGAGGTGCTGCGAGCCAGGATTCCCCACGCGACAGGGGCAGGTTAAGGTGACAAAACTGTGAAAGGTGCCCCGCGTCAGAGCTCCCCGCCAAAACCAAGCTCCAACTTCGCGTCAAACTCGAATTAAGCTTGGACTGCAGCTCGGAATCCCCCTCCCCCATGAACGTCTTCCCGACGCGTATGCTACAATTCAAACGCACAATGGCGACCATCGGAACCCTTCAGCGCATTACTGCCGACAAGCTCTCCACCATGTTGCTGGCGGAGCAGGCTGCCGCCAACCCTTCGGTGGCTGTCGTCGATGTCCGTGACGATGGTACGTGTGACCTTTCGACATTCCCATCCACAACCCACCCGCAAAGGCACCGCTGACTTTCGGCTTGGTACAGATTACATCGGAGGTCACATCAAGGGCTGCATCAACATGCCCTCCCGCTCCCTCGAAGCCATGATGCCCACCCTCATTCGTCGCCTCGAAGGCAAGAAGACCGTCATCTTCCACTGCGCCTTGTCCCAGCAGCGTGGACCCAGCGCCGCCCTTCGCTACCTCAGAGAACGTGACCAGGCCCTCGCCTCCAAGCAGTCTTCAGGGTCATCCGAGGAACAAGCGAGCACCCAGCCACAGGACGTCTATGTCCTCGACCGTGGCTTCGTTGGCTGGCAAGAGGTCTACGGTGAGGACGAGAGACTTACCGAGGGATATCGAAAGGAGCTTTGGAAAGATGGATACTGGGGCTGAAAGGGTCAGGCCAACGAGGTTGCTGCAAAATGAAACTGGCAATTAGCCTTCAGGCCATCAAAGGAACGATTTGCGCATCTCTCAAGGCAGCTTCCCAACGGCCCACCACTGTCGAAAATTAAATCCCGGCGTTCGCGAGTGCCATAATTCGTGTCCTTGTAGATCCATCTTTACTCAGAACTTCCCTGGAGAAGGCCCGCGAAACACAGGAAACCATCTCAGACGCCACCTATTTCTCAAAACAAAACCGAATCTACCAACATCTCAGCAGCCATGGCAAGGACTTCTTGGGCTTGGAACACTCCCTTCAACATTGCGAGCATCGTCGTTTGCAGCATCGTCGTTTGCAGCATCGTCGGCATTGCCTTCATCGCCGGCCTGATCATCAATGCTAGCGCCAGAATCGGTGTCCTGCTGGGCCAGAGCAGGACTCGTCGGCAACACGTATCAGGCGCCTCCCTTTTGCTCGTCGGATATCTCGCCCTGATCGGGCCCATTCTCGCCTACTACGTTGTAGTTGCATGCCTCTTCCTAGCCTTGTTGGTCCCAGGTCTCATCTTCTACCTGGTCTCCAAAAAGTGTATAGAACCGCACTGGGGCCCGTTTTTATCGACTTTGCACACGTCTGCATCCGATATCTTGCGCCTAGTCAACGAGCCCGCAGGGGCCATCATCAAATACTGGGAACGCTGCACAATTCGGCTGGTCAACGGAGAAATCCCGCCTTCCAAATCATCTATCGATGGCGTGCCACTTTCGGACATGCCGAGAGGTACATGAAGCACTCAATGAGCTTTTTTTCACCCGAGGACCTGCATAACCTACATTTCAGGGTACGATAGAGTTTGAAGGGGCAGTTGGCTGCGTCACGAGGTGGCTTCGATATTCTCGGTAAAGTAGTGTTGATAAGGTGTATTTCTTGTCTTAAATAGCACACTAGCTGAGAGCCGCTTCGACGTCAGGCACTTCACGTCTCGATCAAATTGAACAGTCAGGTTCATCCCAATTCTCGTTCTTCAAACCATTCCTTCCAGCCGAGTCTGGAACAATGCCTCTGAGCCGTAAAGAGGTACAGAGTTTCGTCGCTTTTGGCGTCGTCTTAGGCAGCGTCGCCGTTCTTGCGACCTTCCTCGTTGCCTCCCGTCGTCTGAAGAGAAACTACGAAAACGCAAATTTGGTAACTCTTCAATTTTTAACAGCCCTTTCTCTGCTGGTAATCGGTTACTTCATCTTGCTGTGGCCCACTCTCATCTACTACATCGCGGCGGTCTGCTTCTTCATAATCTTCATCGTGTCAAGCCTCGTCATCAAGGCACTCCGCAAGCTGGCCTGCCCATCTTGGACAGACCGAGAAGATAATTCCCGTCGCCAACTATTCTCAGCGGCTGGACGACCTCCTGCTGTTGTCTGGGACTACTACACGTACTACGTCGTTTACGCGGTTGGAGGAGGGTGGCATGGACCTCAAAAGGAGCCCTCTGATAGGGGATCCGTGAACGCTGCGGAGTTATCGACTCTACCCAGCACAGGTATACCAGATAGACCCGCACATGGCGTTTGAACGGTTCTCATGGTGGACCTTTGGGCTGTCGGTACAGGAAACGAGGGGGCAAAGCTGAATGACCTTGGTGGCTCGGAGACAGCTGATGGATGGCTAACGGTGCGTCTCGTGACCCATGCTGCCTTCTATCTTATCAAAGACTTGACGCAGATGGGAAACTTTGGATATCAGAAGCTTCGGCTTCACCGAGATCATTAGAAAATCATGTCACTCGTCGGAATGGAGAGCATATGTAAAGAGGTATTTAATGATGTTGCTTCTGCCCTTCGAATGCAGAAACATTGATCCTTTCAAATCTACGCCCAATACAACCACCATCTACACGTTTACTCAAACCGCATGTCGACATCCACACTCGCACTACTAGCACTTATGTCGCTACAACAATCGTCAACCTCCACCATGACGTGGAACGACCTCTCTGGTGGGGTCCAGACCGTCCTCATCTTCCTAGCTATTGTTGTCGGCATCGCTTATATCGTTTTTGTCGGCTTTTGTGGCGCCATAGTTGGAGATCTCCTAAAAGGCAAGAATGCTGTTGCCCTTCAATATGTTGCGGGCTGGCTCCTACTAAGTGTCGGTTGGACTTGTGTGCTTCTTCCATGCATCGCCTATTACGTCGCGGCCATCAGTCTTTTCATCGTCGGCATCATACCTGCAATTATCTTCAAAACGATCTACATCCGGCTCTGCACGTCTGAGTCTTTTCTACACAACATCACCCCCCGAAAATTCCTCTCGGCGATCGGTGTACCTCCAATATTTATTTGGATGTACTGGCTGTACATTTCATTGTGGCTGGTGGGAGGCGATTGGGAGGAGGTCAAAGTCAAGGCGATTGCGACGATGTCTCCCCACGGAACTCTTTCTAATAACCTTGAGTTGAACGGGCCAGAGGCAGGTACAGCGGATAGGTGCTGAGTAGGTATGAAACCAAGATTTTGGTGCTTGAAAGCCACGATTTAGCGGTCTTGTGTTAAATGGTTTTCCAAAGGCTCAATCAAAACCTACTCACCACAGGATATCAAATCGGGATTGAGACGTAATGTCAGTCTGTCTTTTGGCACAATTTCCCCTCAGCCAATATTTCCATACAATAAGATGCTCTTAAACGTCATGTCTAATATGGTATTATCAAGGTGAAACATGTGGTAGATAGCGCATCTGGTTTCGAATTCACCTTGAAGGTGCCAGTGTATGGCAACAGAGTTGCTTAGTACCAACTTTAGGCATCTCCGAATATTTCATGCACATAGACATAAGCTCCTCGTTTCCAAAGCTGAAGGCACAGCTATCAGAACCAACTCCCACTCAACTATCAAACTAAACCCAGCTGAAGAGTTCCACAACTCGGCAGCCAACCTTTTGTCACCTTAGGTTACCACCCAACCACATTTCGAAGAGATTCATCGCAATCCTACCACCATGAATGGATCTCAAGACATGGAAAATTCAACAATGCTCCTCGTCATTTTTTCTTCGGTTATTTTCGGTTTCGGATTCCTCTTCGCGTTTGTCAGAACAAGCAGCGAGATGCATGAAGACATGGATAAGTCACACCGCGATTTCCCAGCAACCCTCTGCGAAGAGCCTTTTGCTGGCTCTCTATATCAATTGTGCAAGGGTTTTTCAATGTTGTCAATATTCTGACCTTTTTGCCGCTTTGTCTTCTCAGCGTACTCTTCACAATTATTGGACCGCTTCTGGAATGTCTTCTCGAACCGACTTTCGGTCCTCTCCACTGCGTTGATTTCGTGGACAGTTTAGTGCTAGGTTATCCCGAACGTTTCGATTCTTCGATGGAAGTTATAAGCAACTTCTTCATCGTGCTTTCCGGGCACTCGTTGGAGTGTAGGGACTGCTACTTAGAGAAAATGGGCTTACTTGAGGCGGGAGCAGGGACGGTTAGTGGTGAGAAATTACAGAAGGTGAAGGGTTGGTATGGTGATGATATCGATCACGAAACGAGGGAAAGACTCGAGGGAAATTGAAACATATCTTTGAGTTACATGCGGCGCACGACATGGAATCAACAAGTTCCTATGACATAGTCGAAGCATACTACAGATGGATCATGGAAGCTGATGTGCGACTGACCGACGGGCAATACATGGAACTACATTAAGATCAACATGACAGCGAAAGTACTAGACACCGCAATTGAGAAGAAGTTTTTCTACTTAGGCGGAAAGTGATTATGGGCAACAGGAACAGCGATAATAGCGGAAACTATAACGGAGATGATACCTAGAATAGAGAGAGGAACGGAATAAAAGGCTAAACTAAGAGAAATAAGTTATGCTCACCACAATAAATACCCACCGTATGATTAAACCTTGGGGTTGGGGAGACTGCATAGAGCTCCAAGTTTAGGGCCCTGGCAAAATTAAAGAACTAGTACCGTAGTCACCTCTTCAGCCTCGAACCCTTACGGCTGCACCAAGAGAATTAACATGAGATTTACGAAGGCCGAAGAACAAGGGTCGAAGCGCCGCAGGTTTGTTTCTTGAAGAACTATCTTCCACTGGCACCGTTGCCTTCGTCGCAAAATGTCACCCATGCTCACGCATCAGATCTTTTCTTTTCAACGAGACCAACTAAATTACAATCGGAAACATGGATCTGGATATTTCTGACCCGCTCCTCGCCATTCTTGCTCTTTGTGTGCCACTCGCACTCTACACAGCAACTATTGAGCTGCGTGAAGATATGCTTAATCCAGAACCGCGATTTCCAAAGAACATGTTGCGACGACTGTTGTGCTGGATTCTTATGTCAATCTCGTTTGTGTTCTTTTGGGTCACCATTCTGGTTCTTATGGCACTGCAAGCCACGTTGATTATTATCGGGCTTCCACTGATGGAAATTGGAAGGGTCCTAAATCTGGCTGTCGGATCTTTCCCACCCTTGTGGGTTAAGACGATACAAGACGGTCTTTCAGAAAGGGTTGATGCTTGGGGGAACGGAATCGTATGCTCCAGCATCTGGTTTTCTGGGGGTTTCTTGGAGCGATCCAGACACATCGACACGGAAGAGGGCTTCGACGAGGTGGATAGCACTTCTGACGAAGATTTAGAAACCCTAGCCAAATCGGTAGCTTGATAACTCCGTACCAAACTTTGTATAAACATCAACCCTTGTGTCTACACCAAAGCTATGCAGAGGTATATCTCTTGTTTTCTCCGAATGAAGGATATCCATGGTATAAGATCTCCTTTTTCTCCAGGCAACGTTGGAAGGACTGTTGCATTGATTGCTCAAAACTCCCTCCAATCCAACAACCTCACAACACCTATCACCACGACTATCAACTTACCGGCGGTGCTTTATCGCTACTCGGTAGTCATCTTCTTCTCATCCAATACCAATCTAAACATGGAAGAGCATTGGGCGGCCTTGCTTTCTTTCTGCAAGTGGAGTTCAGTAATAATAGCAATCTTCTCCGGCATCCTGAGCGCGACCTGTATTATGTACTACGACATGTCCAAACTAAATCCGCGATTTCCGAAGAACCCACTGCGGAGGACCTTCTGTTGGCTATTTTTGTCGACACTATTGGGGCCTTTTCTTGTCGCTTACCTAGCAGCCTTCTTGGTATGGGGCTTGACCTTTATGGGTGTCATGATGCTCTTGTTACTTCTTCTCCCAGTTCTGTTCATTCTTGATGTCATCTTCAGACCAGCCTTTGGTTCCTTTGATTCCTCGGAGGAGTCGGAGTTTGCAAAGGGATCTCGCGAATTGTTCGGGAAACTCAGAGACCTTCCTGAACACTGGGAAGAGCTCGCTATATCTTTCAGCATCTGGCTCGCTGGAGGCTTCTTAGAATGCGCTCGCTGCGCAGCCAGGGACCAAATCTCAGCTCAAACGGAGAGCAGTGCTTCTTCGGGGTAGCGATGAGAACTTCACAGGCAGTCACCATGCGTATTCAGTTAGAGAGAAGTACAGGTGCAAAATGCAAATTGCATTGAGAAGTCAAAAGTCTAATTTTGGTATTCTACGCATAACCAACTATCTTTTTCTTAGAGCGCTCATGTGACACAGAACAGGACTATATCGAGGCGCACGTCAATCCTAGCGGTGAACACCTTTGGGTTTGAAAATCTTGCAGGACTGGTAGCAAGTTGCTAACCTTTGGCTACTTTCTAATGAACCCGTGGCCTTTGAGAAGAAAAAGGTGTCATCATGCCAAAAGACCCAGGGTATAAAGTCTTCAAATAGGGCTGGAACTAAGGTGTTCATTATTTCTCAATCCCACCATCTCACCACATCTGTCAGCATTCCCAAATAAAAGGTCGGCACCTAACTGAGCATTATCCTCACCCATTCTCATCCCAATTCAAATATATCAACAATGGAGGAAGGAGATAAAGAGTGCCTGCTCTTTATTGCTTGGATCGCCGCCGCCATCATAATTTTTACCAGCATCATCGTCGCGACCGTTCAGTTGTACGAGGACATGTCCAAGCCAAAACCAAGATTCCCTAGAAACCCTTTGCGACGACTCTTCTGTTGGCTTTTCATAGCGAGCACGTTAGGGCCTTCTATGATCATCTATTACGCGCTATTTCTTGCGCTGTTCTTTATTGCGGCGAACGTGGCGTTTCTTGTGACGGTTGTTGGGTTACCGATTTTCTGCGTCCTGCGGGCCATCCTGGAGCCAAGTCTTGGGCATCAACCTTTCGCTATCCTGGACATCCCTTCGAATGATGGATCAACGAAAGACGAACGAACGGGTAACATGATTATTCCCGGCCCCTGTGATTGGCCTGCGGTCTGCACGGAGCAGGCTGTATCTTTCAGCATTTGGATCTCAGGAGGTTTCTTGGAGGGTACCCGCTCCATCGACGAGGAAGAAGCCTTGCTTGATGTCAAGGAGGACACAGCAGACAACCCTTCTTCCCTTCTTGTGTAGAGGCATAGATTTAGATGTATTTCCAGCATCTCAAGGCTAGTGAGTAGGCAATCAGTGAAAATAAAGCAGTCAAAAAAGTCTATATTTTGGTATTCTACGCCTGATCCACGATCTCTTTCTTTATCCTGGTGATTGTTCCCGGACCGCCGTATGTCAACCCCGTGTACACCATAGCGACGCTAGCGCCGGCGTTCAAAATCTTCAATGCCTGTTCTCCATTGGTGATGCCTCCAGTGGCGAAGATGACCTTTCTCGGAGTATCCTTGCCCTCAATCAAGTCGTGAACCTTGCCCGACAGAGTGCCGTCCACGGATGGAATGGCAGCAGCCTCCTCCGCCGAACCAGACTGCAGGGTCTGGCTGTCGAGCTTCTGGCGGTATCTCTTGACCAGCTCCAAAGTCCTGCCGTACATTTCAGGGCCGGAGTAGCCACCAGTTTCCATCAGTGCCTTCTGCTCCTTGGCGGAGAGTTGGACACCCTTCGGGACGACGCCCGTCCTACGCTTGGTCGTGTTGCCAACAATGACACCGTCAACGCCGCTGTTGCAAACGGCCTGGGCGATGCCCTCGACCTGGGCATCCTCCTCCTCGTCAGGGGAGACCTTGACCATAACCTTGGGGCGAACCTTGCGGTCTGCCTTGGCCGCCTCGTCGACGACGGCGCTCAGCAACCTCGTCAGGGGCTCGGTAGCCTGCAGGTCACGCAGACCAGGGGTGTTGGGACTGCTGACGTTGACGACCAGAATATCGGCGTACTTGGCGAGGGCTTGCACGCAGTAAACGTAGTCTTGAGTGACGGCCTTTACGTCCCGCTCGTCCGTCTCCTTGTTCTTGGCAATCTGCACAGCCAGAAGACGGCCGGGGAGCAGACTTCCGGCGGGCACACCGGCTTCGCCGTCCAGAACCTGCTGCTCGGTGACACCGGCCTTACGGGCGAATCTGCGCACACGCTCCCTCAACGTACCGGCCATGCTGACGGCGCCGCGGGAGTTGAGACCGTATCGGTTGACCATGCCATCGATGCTGGGGACGCGGAAGACGCGGGGCTTGGGGTTTCCTTCTTGCGGACGGGGCGTGCAGCCGCCAACCTCGACGACACCAGCACCGAGTGCGAAGAGGGCGTCGGGGATGTCGGCGTGCTTGTCGAGGCCGGCACTGATGCCGATGGGGTTCGCGAGCTGGAAACCGTAGACCTCGCTGGCGAGGGCAGGATGCTGGGCGAGGGTCCTGTCGCGTTCGCGGATGTGCAGACCCAAGTCGTAGAGGGACTTCATCATGGTCGTGCCGGCATGGTGGGCTTCTTCGGCGTCGCTGTAGATGAAGCGCAGCATGGGCGGCACAAGCCAGCGGTGGATGGAGGCGCGGGTATCGGTGACATAGAGGTAGGAGACGTAGAGCGAGCCGGCGAGAGCGGTGCCGTACAGGGCAAGCTTCAGGTTGGAGCCAGCGTTAGATTCGGGCGAGGAGCCGGTGCCGGTCGAGGCATGACGTCGAGAGAGGGTGTTGCTAGGGAGTCGCGGGCGAGCGAGGGCGGGATTCCTGGCCGCGCGGAGGGCGTTTTGCACGCGGCCGGAGCGCAAGCAAACGGAAGCCATTGCTGAGAAGAGCTGCTGGTCCTGGCCAGCACTCAATGGCTCGGCGTTGGTGCGGGATCGGGGGGTTGAAGATTTGCAGATGTCACTGCCGGAGACGGAATTGACGCGAAGTTCGGGCAGGGTCGACAGTTGGCGTCGTCTGGACTGGGATGCGGGACAGTGCGGGGACAGTGCGGTTTTGGCACGGTGCCAATTTTAAGGGACCTGACTAGGTATGATATTTCTTGTCTAAGAGTAAAATGGTATCAGATCATGACGTTCTCCATGTCGTCTAACCTTCTAAGCCAACGCCGTTCCAATGCAACTACAAAAGAAAAAAATTCCGTCAAGGATGTCTGGGGTAATCTTTCCCCTCCACACTCTCTTTCTCTCTAATTCCTCCTCCACGCCCTCCTCTCATGCCTCCATCTTTGCAGCCCCCTCGTGCACAGCGATGCCCTGCACCGCGTGTGCTTTCTTGGGGTGCGCCCTTACGTCTGCCTCTTCGGCCTCCTCGACGACTTCTGCTTGCCGGTTGAGGAAGCTCAGATAGGTCTGCCAGCCGACGGCAATGACACCCGAAAAGACGCTGCGATATTCCATCGGGATAAACGAGAAGCTGAAGGCCGTCACGGCGGGCCACAGCTTGCACGAGTTGACGATGCTCACGGGAACGGTGCGCCGAATTCGCTCGATGATCTGCTCGAAGTTGTCGCCCGCCAGGAAGGCCTGCATGCCGAAGAAGTACGAGTTGAATATGGGCGTGAAGCACACCTGATTCACGACGACCTTGGTGGCCAGGGATAGCAGGCGCGAGGTGTAGTTGAAGTTTTGGGAGAGGAAGATGAACCTGCCGCCCGTGCTGTTAGCTTGTCGTCGACGCATACTGGGACTGGGCTTCTCGCAGCGGCACAACTTACCACTTATAGCTAGGGATGGAGGACAATGCGCCGATGATGAGGGACCTCGCGGTGCGCTCCGGGTTATACTCATTACCGCTCATGTTCTGGGCGGACAGGTCGGCGCAAAAGTAGATGACAAGGGAGCTGATGAACTGCGTCGTCAGGGGTCTCTTGCGCTGGGCCCTGGCATACCCCTCGGCGGCACGGGTCAGCGGACCAAGGCGCTGCCATAATGGGATCGTGGCGACGGTGTTGGGCACAGGAATAGGATCGCTCTCTCTCTTCGGCTTTGGGGGCTCGGTGCCCGAGTTGGAGGAGTTTGCGCGGCGCTGGGTGAAGCGAGTGCGCAGGCCTGGGGCCTGGCGGCGCATGAAGGCTCGAAACATGGTGGCAGGTGGCGCTGCCATGAACTGGTGTATTCGGGGAATCATGACGGTGTCGTCGTGCGTGTTCGTGGTGTTGTTGTTGGGTTGCAGAAGATGTTGTCGAGGGATGACATGGCGGGCATGGGGATGGACATGGCCTTGAATGCTATCCTATCCGGATATGAGCGTGGGTTTGGGCGTGGGCGTGGGCATTGACATGGACATGGCGAAATGACAAACCCGCCTTGGTGCGCCTTGTGCCGCCGCCAACACAGCCGTGGAGAACTGCCAGATCAGATCCAAATTGGGTCCATCATCCCTCATCCCTCACAAAAAAAGTCAAGGGACCAGCGGGAAGTTGCGGCACAGGGCCTCTGGCATTGCCGATGCCGCTGGACTCTCCTAGCGAGTTGGACGAGCGTCGCCGGGGTCCGGGTTGTTCAACAAAACAGTGGGGCGCATTGTTTTGTGCATGTTTCTGTTGGCCCATGTCATTTTCGCAGCGCTCTTGCGTGCTCGGGCCGACCGCGCTAACCTTACCTAAGGTACCTTACCTTACCTAAGTAGGTATGCATCTTTCCTTAGTGAAGACGCCTAACACGCCTGCCACCTGTCAGTCCACGTGCCGGCCGCTCGTGCCTGGCTGACAGCTGCCGCCCGTTGGACCCCTCCTTTGACTCAAGGAAGCGGACTGTTGACTTGGCTCACTTGACCTAGCAACCATCAAGTTGTGTGTGATGCTCTTCGTCGGATGACTACAAGACCTATCAACCCCGCCTCGCGTTCCTCAAAACTGCTACTGAGGACCAAAGGTTTCTTCATGCCCAAACATACCTACGTGAGGCGGTTACCGAGACCAACACAAGCTGGATGCTCAGCTGCGCCCCCTACGAGGCTAACACTTGCCTTGAAAGTGACTGACAGATAGCCTGCCTGGGTTTGCTGAACCCCAAACCAGCTCCTTCCGTCCTCCATCCACCCTTTCCTGAGTGTCCTCGTCTTCTTCTGTGCCTCCCAAGTGCAAACGGCGTGCCCTACCTGTCGACGACAACCCGCAGAGATTGCAGAGTGACACCCGCGCTCGACAGACCACAACGCCCGGCATGTGGCTCATCAATACCAACACCTTCGAATTGCGCATGTTCAATGGCCCTCAAAACGTCCCTCCATACGCAATCCTATCCCACACCTGGGGCAACGACGAGGTGACGTTCCAAGATATTCAACAGAACCTGCACCTCGCCCGCACAAAGGCTGGTTTCTCCAAGATCGAGGGAACATGTTACCAAGCACTACGCCATCAGATCGACTGGGCCTGGATCGACTCGTGCTGTATCGACAAGACCTCGTCCGCCGAGCTGTCTGAAGCCATCAACTCCATGTACTCGTACTATCTCCTGGCTCGCGTCTGTTTCGTTTACCTCTCCGATGTCCCTCCGCCTTCTGCCTCTCCGCCCATGGGCAACATGCCCTCCCTTGCGAGATCCCGTTGGTTCACCCGTGGCTGGACCCTTCAGGAGCTCATCGCTCCTCGCCGAGCCATCTTCTACGCCTCGGACTGGTCGCGCATCGGAACCAAAGGCCTGCACCGCGGCGAGCAGCCATTCATCGCAGCAATAGCGGCCATCACAGGCGTTTTCGAGTCGGTCCTCTCCAAGACACGATCACCCCGTGACTATTCCATCGCAGAGCGCATGTCCTGGGCCGCTGCCCGCCAGACTACCCGCCCAGAAGACCTAGCCTACTGCGTCATGGGGCTATTCGGTGTGAACATCCCCGTCCTGTACGGCGAGGGCCTGGCACATGCCTTTCAGCGCTTGCAGCACGAGATCATTCGTACTTCTCCCGACGAAACCATCTTCGCGTGGCGCGTTGACCCGGCCCAGGAGTTTATGGACTCCCATACTGGCGAGCGACGACGACGTGCCCTCAACTCTGGTCTTTTGGCCGACTCGCCTGCCGATTTCGCCCGCTCCCGCGATGTTCATCAGCGAGCCCTGCACAGAGGCTCCCCGTTCCGGCTCTTCAGCATGACCAACATGGGAATCTCCATCGCCGCGGAACTGATAACGTTGGCCGCGCCCGGCAGCCCGCGCGCTAGCCCGCGAACTAGTCCCTCGCCTGGTAGACCTAGTCCGTCACCATCCGTCCAGCCGCCGGAGTCAAATCTCGTCATTCTCCCGATTGGGGCAAGCGACCGGCCGACAGACACCGGGCCAAGGGCTCGAGTGGGGCTCTATCTCGAGCCTGTCCTGCCGGCACCGGCATTGCCGTCGGGGGCGGCGCCGTCTGCGTATTCTCAAGTGTTCTACCGCCGCGTCCGATGTGACGACTTTTGCTTCGCACCGCAGCCTATTGGTGACTTCCCTCGTGGCCACGAGCAGGAGATTTTTGTAGTAGAAGACGAGCAATTCGCCGAGATGCGGTGGGCAGATAGGCCGTCTTCGGCTGGCGGTGGGTCACCATCCATCGGCGGAAGACTGTCCTTGTCTCCTAGTGCGTCGCCGAGGGCATCGCCAAGGTTGGGAACCATGGATTTGACCTGAAATAATGCATAGACTTGAATAGAGCCATGAATCAGCGCAAACGGGCACTGGAATGATGGGGTCATGGAAAGAAATACACTGAAAGAAATATCAGCAACAGAAATGCACATAGCATTAGTGTGGAAGTGTGGCACCGGTGCCTGCAACCTGAGGTAGACAAAGAGACACAGAAAGAGAGGCACAGTCCAGCAGGGCAAGGGGAACTAAGACCATCTTTCCAGTAGTGCTGCACGATTCAAAATAGATACCCATTCCATCAGTTTTGAATTCGACGCTCTACACGTACTTTTGCAAGACAAGATTGCCCGGAAAGGCTCCACGCCTTACATCCCCCAACCACTGTAGTCGGTAAGCTTCGTTAGTCAGGCATCACCCGTCATACATTGTTAGACACTTCAGTGAGCTTCACGTCTTTGTGTTCGCAGTGCACTAAGAGTACGTTTGAATCCTTTTCATTCAACCAGCACACGTAAAGTGTGCCTCCTACTACAGAACATGAGACTAGGCTCCCCTTGAAGGGTGAGTTACTCGGGTATCTCATCCAGGAAGCCCTCCTGTACTACATACACATACATATCCCAAGGTGCATATCATAATGCCCTGTTTTGTTCTCCCAAAAAAGCCCCCTTCCTGATTTTCCTTCCAGTCTAATCTTTTCGGCACACGCATGCCACCCTTTTTTCGTAAGTGTTCCACCGTCCTTTGCCGTAAAAGACCAGAAGGGGTGGGTGGGATATCCCGAACGAGAGGTGGTGCGTGCTGTGCTGCCACCAGAAAGGGGACGGACCATCGCGCGTCCCTTTCGAATGTAATAAAAAACAACAAATCTCAAATGTCTCAAATCCATCCCCTGCCCGCCTGTGGGGAGGGAGGGAAGATGGGAGACGTGGTATCAAACGGTATATGCCAAGAACACGAAACGAAGAAGAAAGCATACCGCGCGTCGCTTAGTATGCACCGGGGAAGTAGGAAGGCGGGTCGTAAGGTCGTGTCGTACACATCAGGTGAATCAAAGAAGCCCAATGGCTGCTGCCGATTGCCGAGATGAAGACGAGAGGTACGGGTTAGATGCCATGAGCAGTCCAGAAGATTTTCGAGGTCGATAAGCCAGCCAGCACGTCGAGATTCAGGGTTTTGTTGTTTTGCAAGTGTTTTTGTGGTTTTTGTCGTCAGTGGCAAGGAAATAGTTAGGAGAGTTGAATGAGTGAATATGGTCGGTACGACAGTTAAGGAAAGGTTAATGAGCGTCGGGTGTCGAATCTGTTTTGTCGACGTAGATAGAGATATAAGGAAATGTTGAAAGATCGTCATCTCGCTGGTGCTGGGCTGGCAATATCTTCCCCTGTCATCATCTGTGTTAGCTGCTCATTTAGTAAACGGCATCACTGGTCCTCATCTGGTCAACGCTCGCGCGGGGCGAGACCTCGAGCATCTTTGCGCTCCCCGAGCTCACATGCCTGGCGAGGCCCCTGCTGAGGCTCACGCTCGTGGCGCGTTGGAGCTGGGGCGTCTCGCCCTCGGAGTTCTCGGCCGACGTGGCGGGGCTGTCGACGTCCTCAAACGTCTTGAGCAGGCCCTCGCGGCTCTTGATCCGTTGGTGCTGATGCGGCACGACCGCCGTCGCCCGCTGCCTCTCGACAGACCCCCACTTCATGTCCGCCTCGTCCATCATCGTCACCTCCTCCTCGTCGCTGCTGGGGAACGCGTCGCCCGTGGACTTGCGCGGCGTGCGCTCGTCGTCGTCGGCGCCGAGCATCTCGCGGGACGGCGTGGCGAGGTTGGAGAGGTACTCGTCGTCGGCAAGCTCCTCCTCGGTGTCGTTGACCGAGGGCGAGTGGCTGCGGTTCTGGGGCTGGAAGCGCTGGATGCTGGCGGCGCGCATGCCCGACGCCCTGCGGTTTCCGATGCGGCCGGAGAGCCACGAGGCCTCGGAGTCGATGGACGCCAGGGAGACGGACTGCGGCTGCTCGGGCGAGGGCTGGATGCTGTGTCGCAGCGAGGTCGGTGTCTGCCTCATCTTCTCGAGCTTCTCCATCTTTTCGTCGACGCGGCGGAGATCAGAGGTGGGAGTGTCGTGCCTGACGACGGCGGGGGATTCATCGTCGTCAAGAGTGTTTTCTGCGGTCCTGGCCTCCGAGACAATGGGCAGAGGAGGCTCGTCCACTTCCGGCGACCCCACGCGCGAGTCCGGAGGACTGAGGGGGAGCTCGGGCAGGTCTTCCCTGAAGCGCGAGCGGGTGCGCTTGGGAACGCCGGAGCTGACCTTGCGAGGAATGTAGTTGATCGGTGGCGGCACCACTTGCATTGGCGCTTGCGGCTCCTCTGTCGGTGGCGCTTGTGTCTGAGTCTGCGACTGAAGCTGGGCTTGGGCCTGGGCCGCGGCGGCTTGCATCTCCTCACGCGACGTGTTGGAGAACGATGACGGTCCAGAGTTTCTTCTCTTTCTCTTGCCCCAGCGGAACAGGGCTGAAAGTGACAGACGGGCCCGGAGGATTGACTCGGACGCCTTGCGGGGGATGGTCTCGTCTTGTCTTGACGACAGCGGCGACACGGCGTGCTCTTCTTCCGGCGACCTTGACCTCGACTTTGACTTCTTCGAACGAAGCAGGCTGCGTCTCAGTCTGATGCTTCCCATAGGCGCCAGCTTCGTGCTGGGCTTGCGTTCGGGAACGGGCTGCTGCGGCTCGGGGGACGGCGCCGACAAGGGAACATCGGGCTGGATGCTCGACGGTCGGTGGAGGTCGTGATCGATGTCCATCGGTTCCGGTTGGGGTAGCACCTGTTCTTCTTCTGTTGAATGCCTGGCCGGTCGGTATGATGAGCTGGATGCCCGTCGCTTGTGCTTGGAGGACGTCACCACCGCAGAGGTCGCTGTGTCCTCCCCGATGCCCAAGCCCACCATCTCCCGGCCCAAAACACCTCTCTCCATGTTCACGGGTGGGGGAGAGCCGCTGTGCCGTGCCTCAGCTTCGGCCTCGCGCTGCTTCTCCGCCCTCCGTGCTAACCTCCTCTCGACTCTTTCCTGGTCTCGTTGACGCCTTCGTTCTCTCCTCCTCGTGTCTCTTTCCATCAGTTCTCGCAGGTCGGCGGCGTCGAGGTCGTCGGCGAAACTGTTTACTCTCTTGTGTGCCCTCACCACTGACTCGGGCACTCTCTCGGAAACCTTTCTCTTCTGTTGTTGGTGTTGGTGTTGTTGGTGGCGTGAATGCCCTGAGCTGCTTTGCCCAGGGCCCCATCGTGGGTAGACGGTGTGTCGTAATGTCGGTCGGGGTGCCAGCATTTCGAGTGCCGACACCCGGAACGAGTGCATCTCGGAGTCGGACGACATGCTGGAGTGAATCGATATCGGCAATGAGACGTCGGAGGCCCTATTCTCGAGAGGGCTTCTGCTCCTGCTGCGGAAGCCGAGGCCCCCCGTCGTCTTGACTCTCTTGCTTTGTTTCCTCATCGGCCGACCGGATGTCCAGTCGTCGGCCGCTGGCCGTACCGGCGCGAAGTTGGTCATGGCCTTGATCTCGGCCTCGCGATCCGTGTCTTCTCTCCTCCGCTTGCTGGACTTCCTGCGGGAGGAAGAGCCCTTCTTGGGTTGGCCGTGGCGTGCATTATGTAGGGTTGGCGCCCGCTGCCACGCGGGATCCCCTTTTTCTTCTCCGTCATTTCGGTCGGCTGGGAAGGGCCCTGTCAGCCGCCCAGGTACCGGTGGACCCGAACCTTTTTGCCCCGCGACGCGGATGGAGTCGTTGCGACCGGGGGAGAAGCTGTAGGTACGGGTCCGTCGGGTCAACTTCTTGGAGGAGGAGGGGTGCTGCTGCTGCTGCTCTTGCTCGAGTCGCTGCTTCTTCTTCGGCTTTGCGGCCCTGTCTTGTTGCTGGACATAAGCATGAGAGGCGCTGCCGGTGGTGAGATCGTCTCGTGGAAGAGGCGCCTCGACGTCGGACAGGTTTGCGCCGCTTCGCGAGCGTTTGCGACCGCTCCTCCGGCGAAAGGGCCAGAGGGCCATTTTCCCCAATGCGTCGTCGCCCAACAGCAATCAATGGTAGGGGGGGGGGGGGGGGGGTT